TATAATTATTATGAAATGCTTTAAAATCAAGGTGAAGAATGCATAAGAATGTTGAAAAGTGAATTTACGGTGGGCCAGTCAGTGGTGTATTGGTTAAATGAGCTGGATCCCACATGGGCGATTATATGATTCAAGTCTTGGACCTAATGGCTTACAAAACATACCCAGCACATGAGCATGTGTGTCCACATCCTCAGAGGAGAATGGAGAAAAAGGGACTGCAGTGTGGAGATACTGTCTCAATCTCCCCCACCCCCAATCCTGTCTCTGGCAAGTGTATGTACCCTATAGTAAATTTTTAAAAAAGTAAACATATAGAAAAGTAAATCTTTTTTTCTGGATGGAAAATAAAAAATGGAGTCAGAATGTGTTTGGACTATTTCTTATTGCACTGTCACTATCGAAACACTGAACTCATACAATTATGTTACAAGAAGCAGACTACCCAATAATACTTGCTTAGTAACAATCGCCTAAACAGTAGGTCCTCAGAGAGAAAAGAACTAGAAAGGAATTGGAGAAAAATTCATTTAGTCCATTATCTCCCTCACTTCTAGAACTCCCTTTTGTACCATAAATCTCATTCTTTTAAAAAAATCTCAGGCTGACCCCTGTAGACTAGAGGTTAAAGGGAGCTGACCCCACACAACCAACCATAATGTAAATCCCTAGTGGCTTGAGAAACACGCTGGGCATGTACGTGTGCATGCTCGAAATCCAGTTAGGATGGAGAAATGGAGGAGAAGGGACTGGGGTATGACCATGCCCCCCTGTGGGGTGCTTTCCTCTATCTTCCTCTCTCTCTCTCTCTCTGGCAAGTTCACGCGTCCTGTGGCAATTAAGAAACAAAAATCGCATGGGGCTTAGCATACATTTCTATACCTCAATGACCCTGCCTATGCTCATGGTTAGGGCACAGCAGAGCTGTGCCTGTGGCCTGCTTACAAAGTCGCTGATGCCAACAGGGGACTGTGAGCTCCCCGTTTGGGCTCTCTGAGAGGTGAGATCCAGACTGACAGCCGGCCAGCCAGCAGCACGTAGGGAAGGGCTGAGCACACACTTGGGACAACATTTACGAATGTTTCCTAATCGAACCAAACTTTGGCTACAATTTTCCCTGTGTGTACCCAAATCTATGAACGAGGAACTTTTTCATGGTCTCATAAAATTTCCAGTGGATGGATTTCCCCAGGTGTTCTTTTTCACTTACGGTTGATGAAGAGTAAGAAGATGCACTTCTTCACAGAGTAGTTCGCATTAGATATGTAGCCACTCATTTTAAAGGCTAGGGTTTTATCCTCACACCCAACTTCGATCAGTTCTCTGTTAAAAGACAGCAAATTTGAGGCTCTGGAAAACTCAAACATTATAAAAGATCCAGAGGCAGAAAACGAAGAGTTCTGAGATAGCTCTGTGACCTGGTGGTTAAGGCAGCCAGATCCCATGTGGCTGACCACAAGGTTTGAGTCCTGGACTCAGTGGTGTGAGAAACACTCCAGACACATGTGCATGCATGTGCAAAATCCCAACAGGAGGGAGAAATGGACGAGAAGGGACTCAGACGTGACCATCATCCATGGCAAGCACTTTCTCCCTCACCTTTCTGTGATAAGCACACATGCCCTCTAGCAAAAACAAAACAAAACAAAAAACCTGACAGGGATGTGTTAACTTGGTCAGATGAGCACCCAGAGACTTGGTTCACTGAGGTTTCCTAGGCACAGTCACCCATTCATCCGTCCGTCCATCCATCCCTCCATCCATCCATCCATCTATCATCTGTCCATCTACCCATCCAGCCATCTACCTACCCATTCTACCTGTCTATCCATCCATCATCTGTCCATCTACTCATCCAGCCATCTACCTACCCATTCTACCTGTCTATCCATCCACCCATCATCTGTCCATCTACCCATCCAGCCATCTACCTACCCATTCTACCTGTCTATCCATCCATCATCTGTCCATCTACTCATCCAGCCATCTACCTACCCATTCTACCTCTACCCCTCCATCATGTCCATCTACCCATCCAGTCATCTACCCACCCATTCTACCTGTCTATCTATCCACCCATCATCTGTCCATCTACCCATCCAGCTATCTACCTACCCATTCTGCCTGTCTATCCATCCATCCATCATCTGTCCATCTCCCCATCCAGCCATCTCCCTCCCCATCCTCCCTGTCTATCCATCCATCCATCATCTGTCCATCTCCCCATCCAGCCATCTCCCTCCCCATCCTCCCTGTCTATCCATCCATCCATCATCTGTCCATCTCCCCATCCAGCCATCTCCCTCCCCATCCTCCCTGTCTATCCATCCATCCATCATCTGTCCATCTCCCCATCCAGCCATCTCCCTCCCCATCCTCCCTGTCTATCCATCCATCCATCATCTGTCCATCTCCCCATCCAGCCATCTCCCTCCCCATCCTCCCTGTCTATCCATCCATCCATCATCTGTCCATCTCCCCATCCAGCCATCTCCCTCCCCATCCTCCCTGTCTATCCATCCATCCATCATCTGTCCATCTCCCCATCCAGCCATCTCCCTCCCCATCCTCCCTGTCTATCCATCCATCCATCATCTGTCCATCTCCCCATCCAGCCATCTCCCTCCCCATCCTCCCTGTCTATCCATCCATCCATCATCTGTCCATCTCCCCATCCAGCCATCTCCCTCCCCATCCTCCCTGTCTATCCATCCATCCATCATCTGTCCATCTCCCCATCCAGCCATCTCCCTCCCCATCCTCCCTGTCTATCCATCCATCCATCATCTGTCCATCTCCCCATCCAGCCATCTCCCTCCCCATCCTCCCTGTCTATCCATCCATCCATCATCTGTCCATCTCCCCATCCAGCCATCTCCCTCCCCATCCTCCCTGTCTATCCATCCATCCATCATCTGTCCATCTCCCCATCCAGCCATCTCCCTCCCCATCCTCCCTGTCTATCCATCCATCCATCATCTGTCCATCTCCCCATCCAGCCATCTCCCTCCCCATCCTCCCTGTCTATCCATCCATCCATCATCTGTCCATCTCCCCATCCAGCCATCTCCCTCCCCATCCTCCCTGTCTATCCATCCATCCATCATCTGTCCATCTCCCCATCCAGCCATCTCCCTCCCCATCCTCCCTGTCTATCCATCCATCCATCATCTGTCCATCTCCCCATCCAGCCATCTCCCTCCCCATCCTCCCTGTCTATCCATCCATCCATCATCTGTCCATCTCCCCATCCAGCCATCTCCCTCCCCATCCTCCCTGTCTATCCATCCATCCATCATCTGTCCATCTCCCCATCCAGCCATCTCCCTCCCCATCCTCCCTGTCTATCCATCCATCCATCATCTGTCCATCTCCCCATCCAGCCATCTCCCTCCCCATCCTCCCTGTCTATCCATCCATCCATCATCTGTCCATCTCCCCATCCAGCCATCTCCCTCCCCATCCTCCCTGTCTATCCATCCATCCATCATCTGTCCATCTCCCCATCCAGCCATCTCCCTCCCCATCCTCCCTGTCTATCCATCCATCCATCATCTGTCCATCTCCCCATCCAGCCATCTCCCTCCCCATCCTCCCTGTCTATCCATCCATCCATCATCTGTCCATCTCCCCATCCAGCCATCTCCCTCCCCATCCTCCCTGTCTATCCATCCATCCATCATCTGTCCATCTCCCCATCCAGCCATCTCCCTCCCCATCCTCCCTGTCTATCCATCCATCCATCATCTGTCCATCTCCCCATCCAGCCATCTCCCTCCCCATCCTCCCTGTCTATCCATCCATCCATCATCTGTCCATCTCCCCATCCAGCCATCTCCCTCCCCATCCTCCCTGTCTATCCATCCATCCATCATCTGTCCATCTCCCCATCCAGCCATCTCCCTCCCCATCCTCCCTGTCTATCCATCCATCCATCATCTGTCCATCTCCCCATCCAGCCATCTCCCTCCCCATCCTCCCTGTCTATCCATCCATCCATCATCTGTCCATCTCCCCATCCAGCCATCTCCCTCCCCATCCTCCCTGTCTATCCATCCATCCATCATCTGTCCATCTCCCCATCCAGCCATCTCCCTCCCCATCCTCCCTGTCTATCCATCCATCCATCATCTGTCCATCTCCCCATCCAGCCATCTCCCTCCCCATCCTCCCTGTCTATCCATCCATCCATCATCTGTCCATCTCCCCATCCAGCCATCTCCCTCCCCATCCTCCCTGTCTATCCATCCATCCATCATCTGTCCATCTCCCCATCCAGCCATCTCCCTCCCCATCCTCCCTGTCTATCCATCCATCCATCATCTGTCCATCTCCCCATCCAGCCATCTCCCTCCCCATCCTCCCTGTCTATCCATCCATCCATCATCTGTCCATCTCCCCATCCAGCCATCTCCCTCCCCATCCTCCCTGTCTATCCATCCATCCATCATCTGTCCATCTCCCCATCCAGCCATCTCCCTCCCCATCCTCCCTGTCTATCCATCCATCCATCATCTGTCCATCTCCCCATCCAGCCATCTCCCTCCCCATCCTCCCTGTCTATCCATCCATCCATCATCTGTCCATCTCCCCATCCAGCCATCTCCCTCCCCATCCTCCCTGTCTATCCATCCATCCATCATCTGTCCATCTCCCCATCCAGCCATCTCCCTCCCCATCCTCCCTGTCTATCCATCCATCCATCATCTGTCCATCTCCCCATCCAGCCATCTCCCTCCCCATCCTCCCTGTCTATCCATCCATCCATCATCTGTCCATCTCCCCATCCAGCCATCTCCCTCCCCATCCTCCCTGTCTATCCATCCATCCATCATCTGTCCATCTCCCCATCCAGCCATCTCCCTCCCCATCCTCCCTGTCTATCCATCCATCCATCATCTGTCCATCTCCCCATCCAGCCATCTCCCTCCCCATCCTCCCTGTCTATCCATCCATCCATCATCTGTCCATCTCCCCATCCAGCCATCTCCCTCCCCATCCTCCCTGTCTATCCATCCATCCATCATCTGTCCATCTCCCCATCCAGCCATCTCCCTCCCCATCCTCCCTGTCTATCCATCCATCCATCATCTGTCCATCTCCCCATCCAGCCATCTACCTACCCATTCTACCTGAATACACTGATGTATTCAGGGGATAACTTGCTCACAAAAACTGATTACAGGGAATAATGCCTCAACTAACAAATCTAACGCATGAAAACAGCCTATATTTGACTCAAGCAGACTCTTAAGGCAGGTACGATATTGACAAATTCCAAAATATTGTGATGGGATGATAAAGACAGGAATGCAGATTATGATATACATAGACTATCAACATACCGACTCACAGCATTTCCAAAGATGGACCGGATATTGTCCACGGTTGTGGCACTGGGCAGTGTTCTAACATCAGCTACTGTCTCACCTTGCTGATAAACAGAACAGAGGATACTAGAATTTACTGTTTCACAGTTGTGATGGAAACACCATAACCTTCTCTCCACAGAAAAACGATTAGAAATTCCTGCATTCCTTTTCATAACATAAAACCATCCCCCATAAAGTGAGAACTTACTTTTTTAACTGAGAAGCTTATGCCTGAATTGTGTATTGCATATCTGGAAGAGAAAAACAAAATTAAAAAGTAAGCAAAGAGTGGCCAGTAGGTATCAGAGGCCCCTTTTAGTTGAATAAGCTGGTAGAGTTGAGTGGTCTAAACAAAGATATAAATAAAGAAAAGTATCTCAATACATCCTCCTTTACCTATAGGAAAAGAAACCAGCAGAAACTTCGTGGAGATATTAATGCTAAATGTGACTGAATCAAACAAAACATGGATTCTTCTCTGCTTTTCCATGTTGTGGACTAGACTCAAGACATTCCACCCCAATATCTGCTTCACCTGCAGTGTTATTTTCAGTGACCTAAAAGGTCTGGGTTGCTTCAAGGACGTCTGGAGAACCTGCCTTTAACAACCCCTGTACACTTTCATTTTATTTTTTCTCAGAGCCCTCACCACTGCTCCCCCGACCCCTGCAATGCTTTTTCCTCGCCTTTCAGTTCTATTCCAGTCTGTCTCAGCCTTTTCTTGGCTGGCCATTACTTATTACTCCTTCTTCCATGGCCTTCATGAACTAAAGGAGTATGTCTAGCCAAATCTGTCTTAGTAATAATTTTCATAATATTTCATTTTACCATACCTAGAACCAAATCGGCCAACCAGAATTTCTTTATTCTCGGGAGATGAGTGTTCTGACACCCACTTATGCAATTCTGAGTAAAAACACAGAAACTTGATGTAATAAAACAGTGTCATTTTATTATTGGCAAATGTTTGATTTGTTTTAGATCTTTTAGGAATGCTGAAACATTGTCACCCCCTCCCTACTATAATCAAAGACAAGTAGGTTCAGAGAGTCCATGCTGGAACCTTCTGTACCAGTAGATTGAGTCTATTGTGGAAGAATGTGGTTTTCACCTGCCCTGAATCCCCTCTCTTTCTGGAATCCCCTCTCCTGGTAATGGCCTCTAATCGTCCTTTAAGAAACTAAGTCTAGCACATTCCACTTGGACCCTGAGTAAGCAAGGCAATCAGCAATCTTCTCATAAACATGGGTCATGGTCATGTGACCTAAGAGAAGCCAATCAGGTACACTGTCCTAGGGAACAGCCACTAGAACAGAGTCAGGAGAAGAACAAAAACAAGGAGAACAGGGTCATGACGCTGAACCTCTGAAGGCACCCTGGTTCTTGCCCTCTCCAAAGAGCAGCTGTCAACACCTCTTTTCATTAGGAACCTCCAAACCTTCAGTAAACGTCATTTTGACTCAGTTAGCTGATCAGTTTGTTTTGCTTGTTAACAATGAACACTCATTGATATAGAGACCACTTCTATTTCCTGAGGAGGTGACAAAAAGGCCAGAATTGGTGACTAAACCTTAACCAGAAACAATACATAGTCTAATTTTGCTGTTCGCTATCTAGCGAAGAGACCCACTCCCAGATTTTGGACTGTACCTGCCAACAACTTCCAAAATTTTCCCATATTCCTCACTTGGATTTTTTAAAGCTTTCCTTCTCGTGGTTATGTTGTAAAAAAGGTCCTCCACCTAAAGAAAAGACACATTTTTCTTGTAAATTCACAGAAGTGCACTGAAATAAAGATCCACATTGTCTACCTAACACTGGTCTCAAGGCAGTGAACCCAAGTATATTTACCAAGAATGCAGTTCTAAACACTGACTGGGGAAAGAACAAGAGATAGGGCATCATTATCTAAGAAATTAAAGGCTATTTTTTTCCTGCCTTCCACATTCACTCACTGATTTCTCAGATATGCACTGGGACCATCTCTCTGTGCTTTGTGTTGAAAATATGAAGACAAATAAAGCACTGTCTAGCTGTGAAAGCACTCCACTTAGTGAGGCGTGCACGCAGATTTACAAACAATTACAGTATCACATGGCATTCAAACACATTTCTCTTCCCTTTCCTTTTATTTTTTGTAGGTTTTTGCCATAGGGTGTGTGCACTTGCTGGAGTCAGAGAGTGACAGAGAAGGAAAATGAGAAATTGCTCCCTATGGGGGATGGCTATACTGCAGTTCCCTCTCCTCCATTCTCCTCCCAGGAATACAGAGCCTTAACCACCACACCACCTGCTGCCCCCTCCTTTTTTTTTTTTTAGTTTTTGTTACTGGGCTTGTGTGCTCACCAGAGAAACAGATAGAGGGAAAGTGAGAAATCATCCCTCCCCACGGATGGCCACTCCACAATTCCTTGTCCTCTCAGGATTTTGGGCACACATGCCAAGTGATTTTTCAAGCTGCTGAACTGGGACTTGAACTATGCAGCTGGCCATGTGGGATCTAGCACCTAACCTCCATGCCACATCCTGGGCCCAAATATTTTTCAAGCTAAGAATAATCATAAAATTTCTGGGATCATTTGGAGTTCTCAGAAATCACACTGTGGTCGCCCCAGTGGCAGATCCCTCTTAAAACGCACCCCAAAGCACACATTCGTATTTGCCTCCTGCCTGCCTCATCACGCAGGGGAAGACAGGTTAAAGTGGCCCCAAGGAGATGCAGGCAGGGGGCGGAATACATAATACAACAGTGGGTGCTCTGCTGGATCAGACTGGAAGGAAACCAACCGAAACACCACAGAAACGAGGCGCCATGGCGGACCTGCTCCCAACCAGAGCTGCAGTCGCAGGACTCACCCAGCACCCTCTGAGGCAGGTGGACAGAACTCTATGATACGTGAGAAAACAGGGCAAGGGACGTGAAATGATCTGCCTCTGGACACACGATTTTAAGTGAAAGCTTGACACTCTAATCTACATTTTCTGGTACAAGTTTGATGTTCTTTCTGTGCCAACTTCCCTGTCACTGATCTCTGCCACCCGATAACATCCCAGCTCCGTGGACCAGCAGTGGCGAGGTAGTTAAGGCACTGAACTCCTATCTGGCCGACCATTGTCCGAGTTTCAGACCTGGCTTGCTTTCTCACTTTCTCCCTCTCTGTCCCTCTCTGGTGAGCACACATGATCTATATCAAACCTAAAATAAATTAATTACTTAATTAAATACGTAATTAGAAAAAGAGAGAGAGAGAGAGAGAGAGACTCTCCCAGTCCCCCAATCCTAAAGGAAAGGGGTTGGGCAGACTAATATTCCATGAAAACCAGTAATAATTCCTCTTGCTTAAAGGGCTTAGAGAGTATCTTGGGATGTCTATTAACCACTAAAAATTCATTTTATTATTACTATGAAAATTCAGAGACAGCATTTTATTTCAGTATTTATGTGCACTCTGTCTCAACAACGTCCACCCCCTTGTGCTGTTCTTACCGTGATCTGGGTCCCTTGATTGCCTGCGCATGGTTTAGGAGGAGCTTTTAGTTTTCCATCTGAGTAACTTGCTCTAATTGGAAAATACAAAATTATTAATATCCAATAGAAACCGAGATAAATACTTACCCGAAGGGTAATGAAGAAAATTACATTGACAACAGATTGAAATACAAGCTATGTCATATACTGCCTTACTGTTTTCCCTTTTTCCCCCCACTATTTCTATATCCTAATAGGATTCTGAAAACAAAACACAACACACTGTTCTTTTGGCAAACGTTGCTCTCTAATCACTGAGTTCTGAGCTACCAAAGAGTTCTGCCGTTGCCTAAAGGAAAACTTCTCAGTGATTTTTGCAATCATTTATTGAGAAGCCACCATGTCGGGCCTGAAGAGGCCTTGGTGATAAAAAAAGGTTTCCCTGGTGATAAAAAAGGCTTAGGAACCTATGTGGAGCAGAAATCTCCCTAGGAACGTTATGTTGCATCTTCTAAGAACCCATGAAATAAAAGTATCACCTCATAACCATCCCAGTGGAGGATCAGTTTATCCTTTGGGAGAAAAGAAAATTTACACGAGATCTCTGCCCGGAAAAGGTAAAACTAGGGTTTAGATCAGACTGTTCTGAGAACCAGGCGAAAAACGCCTCTCAGGGTAAGTACACAGGAGTGAAGAGTCAGCACACTACCTGTACGCACACTTCCCATCAGCTGTCTTGGTTGTAATAGTGACATGAGCCACGTGGCTTATACTGGCCAAAGCCTAAGGGAGAAAAAGAAATGAACGGAAAGAAAACCCATGCCCAGGTCACCCACAGTCACCTCGCCAAAGGGACAGGTCAGCTCAGCTGTCCCTTCCACTTTGTATTAACATCTGGCAACAACGGGCACTTTGCTCACTCATTTAGATGATATGCTGAAAAAGAATATCAAACCCAGCCCCATAGCCTAGCGGTTGAGGAAGTGAATCCACATAGCCAGCCATGTGGTTCGAATCCCAGACCTGGCAGCTGGATAGACATGCCAGGCAGGCGCACATGTTGCCCAACGCCCCAAAGGATGGGGAAATGGAAAGGAATTGCAGCGTGACTACACTCCATTCTCCTCTCCCTGTCTCTCTCTGGCAAATGCACGCAGCCTCTGGAAATTTAAAAAGAACAATAATAAAGAAATAAAGAGAAGGATATCACATTGAATCAATTATTAGAAAAGAGAAAAAGGAGCCAGCAGGTGGTGTGGTGGTTAAGACGCAGGACAACCAGAAGGCCCACCGTGGTTCAAGTCCTGGACCTAGTGGCTTGCTTTCTCACTTTCCCTCTCTATCGCTTTCTCTGTCTCTCTGGTGAGTGCATGTGCCCAATAGCAAATTAAAAAATAATAATAAACAAATAATTCTTTCAAAACAAAGTCCAAAGGAAAACACACCAAAGCATTAATGTTTTAATAACTACTGTGGTTCAGATGGTACAATTCAGGCATGTTTACAACATTATCAATGATGTCATCTAATAATTTTAAAATTTGCCTTCAGAAATTTATAATAGGATCACTCTAAATAGAGACTGTTGTATATTGCTACTAAAAACTGTTTCATATAAGCAATTACATATTTAGAAACGTAAATTTAAAATTACACAATTAAGACGTAAAACAGATTTTAAAAACCCATGATCATTTCCCCCCATTATAACTGAGCTTGGCTTCCTGGCCCTTTGAGATCTGTATATCTCGCTCTCTCTTTCTGTTTCTTTTTTCTTACTTTTCCTATAGGGCAGACGCACTTGCCAGAGAGAGGCACAGAGTAAAAATCGCCCACCCAGTGAGGATGGCCATGCGGCAACCCCTTCTCCTCCATTCTCCTCTCAGGATTTTGGCACAAGTGCCTGGCATCATTTTCAAACCATAAAGCCTGAAACTCAAACCATAATCATTGATGTAGGAATACAGTGCCTTAACCACCATGCCACTTGCTGGCCCCAGATCTATATCTGTTTTCTTAAGATATCAAAATGTACAAAGATGCAACCCAGTGGGCCCGCCTGTGGTGTGGTGGTAAAAGCAGCTGGATCCCACATGGCCAACTACACAGTTCTGTCCTGGACCTGGCTGCTTGAGAAACGTGCTCAGCACACGTGTGTGTACACAAAATCCTGCAAGGAGGGAAGACGCAGAGGAGAGAAGGGATTGTGGTATTACTATGCCCTGTGGGGAGCGCTTTCTTACTTTCCCTCTCTCCCTCTGTCTCTCTCTACCAAGCACATGTGACCTTTGGCAACTTTTTAAAAAAAGCAACACAGGAACTGTGCTACGATGGAATCTCTATGATAGCTTCTCAGCAGAAAGAGAATATAACTGAGCCAGGTTCTAGTCATTAAAAGGAACACAGGTCTGGCTCAGAGATTTCTACGTCCTAACTGGATTCCCCTGATTTATAAAACTGAGCTAATTTTCATCATTAAAAACTGTAAATGAGGAACCAGCAGACGGCATAATGGTTATATCACTGGACTCCCATGTAGTTGACCGAGGTTGGAGTCCTGGACTTGGCAGCTTAAAACTCAAGTCAAGCATGTGTGCGTGCACGCCCAAAATCCCGATAGGAGAATGAAGGAAAAGGGACTGCAGCATGGCCATCCCCCTGGAGGGTGATTTCTCACTTTCTGTCTCCTTGTCTCTCTGTCTCTCTGGAGAGTGCACGTGCCCTATAGCAAAAATCTCTTTAAAATAAAAAAGCTGTACATGATTTTAAGACCTGCGTAAAGAGGGTCATTAAATATGCATAATCAGGGGCCTGGAAGTTAAGGTGCTGGACTTCCACATGGCCAACTATAGTTCAAGTCCTGGATCTGGTGGCTTATTATCTTGCCTTCTCTCTGTCTCTCTCTGGTGACAGCACGTGCCATATAGCAAATTTTAAAATAATAATAAATAAAAATTAAATAATTCTTTAAATTTTTTAAAAAATATGCATAATCATGTAATACTACGTAACACCAAAGAGAGTAAGTATAAATACACGTGGCAAGGCAGATGGTCCTGCTGCCGTTTTTTTTTTTTTTTTTTTTTACTGACAATGGAGCAAGCAGACAAAAGCACAGACTCTGGAATCTAACCATCCAGGTTCGATTATCCAGTCTGCCACTTTTTAGCTGAGTGCCCTGACGAAGTTTCTTAATTTCTCAGTGTCAGTTTCCACATGTAAAACAGGGCAATAACAGGAGCCCCTCAGGAGAGTTACTGTCAGCAAAAAGAGCTAATACATACAAAGTGCTGAGAACTATGGCTAACTGACAGAAATCGCTCAATAAATCTCCACTATACAATTATGGCAAAATATGAGGAGACTTCAAAAAGTTCATGGACAAATGTAATTAAAGGATAAGTTTGCTTTGGTGCAAAACTTTTGGAAATCCATGCATAATTTTTTCATAATACACATTTTTTGTGAACTTTCTGAATGCCCTTCATAACAATCCTGAAGATGTTCTTTAGCTAGGCTAAAGCTCCAGGAGGCCATGGGTTTGGAAAGCGACCCCAGGGAGTTGCAAAGGTAAGATGAAACTACTCCTAGAGCTTGACTTTAAAATTAGAGGCTACCTCAGGGTAGAGGTCTCCTGGAAACTGTCCCTACCTGGAGCAATGGAGGGGTTACTGTGTACATAAGGGTGCTCGAGACCGCCCTGGTTTGATCTAACTCTCTTTTTAATCTATAGGTTCTTGCTAGCTTCTCTTCTATTCCCCTTGCAGTTTATTTGTTCAAGGAAACAATTCTTTTATCATACAGTTTCCCAAGGTCAGTGTCATTTACCATATCCCCTGTCTGCTGCATCTTCCGTTATTTTGGTACAGACTGAGTACCTTTTATTTGAAATGCTTAGAAGTAGGTAAGACTTTGGGATCTTCGATTTTCTGTTATTTTGGTACAGGTTGAATATCCCTTATTTGAAATGGTTAGAATCAAACGAGTGTTTGGGATCTTGGATTTTTTTTTGGATTTTGGACTTTTTTTTTTGAATTTCGGAATGTTTGCTTCTACATAGTGAGATATGCTGGGAATGAGATTTAAGTCTAAACAGTCTTTGACCAACCCATCACACCTCATATATCATGTAGTGTACTTACATCAGGAAACACCTAAGATTCGGGGTTTCTATAGATACAACAGTTTGGTGTAGTAAGTACTCATGAATAATTCTCAGTACTAGAAAGTTAAAGTTAGTAAGTTTGTTCAATTTTGTATACATTTATCAACCAAACATATTTTATTTACCTCTGTTGAGAAATATATGCTTGCCAGTGGCAGATGATGTCATCATTTCCTTATCTTTAGCTTACCTCACCTCGAAAACCGTAGGTAGAAATGTTGGCTAAATCCTCAAAGGTCTGCAGTTTACTGGTAGTGAACCTCTCACACACAATATCCATATCTTCTTTCTAGAAAATATTATAAAAATGAACAAATAATTATGTCAATCATTTTTCTAAACCTTTATGAATTTCTGTTTTTTAAACATTTCATCTAAGAAGAAATTCCTGTTAGGAGTGGAGTTTTTTAATCAGCATGAACTTCCTCAGGTGGCGTCCAGAACAATGTGCTGTTCTGCTGTTCCTCCTTTCTTACTAAGTACCCCTTCTCAGTGTCATTTGCTATTAATGCCTCCTGTCCCCCCCTACTTCCTGACACTGGAGTAACCCAGGACTCATCATCCCTGGACTTATTCTCTATTTTTTTTTAAAGACTTATTTAAGTTACTATTATTATCTGTGTAAATTTGCTGTAAGGCACATGGGCTCACCAGAGACAGACACAGAGAGAGAAAGTGAGAAAGTAAGCTATCAGGTCCCGGACTCGAATTGCAGTCGTCCACGTGGGAGTGCAGCGCCTTAAACATGTCACCTGCTCATGTGCCCCTTCTATTTATACACTTTTGATGATCTCATTCCATCTCACGGCTTTTTCTTTTTTTATTAGAAAACTTCTTTATTAAAAATTTACAGATAATTTTTTTAGAATTATTTATTTATTTTAAAGTTTGCCATAGGGTACAAATGCTCACCAGGAAGCAACAGAGAGAGTGAGAAAGAGAGAGGAAGGGAGGGAAAGTAAGAAGGCAAGCCACCAGGTCCAAGATTCGAACCATGGTCTGCCATGTTAGAGTCCAATGCCTTAGCTACCACATCTCCTGCTGGCCCCTAAACTACAGATGATTTTTAAATTAACATATACACAACATAAAATTTTCCAGCTTAGCTTTTTTTCCCCCCTAAAGAGTTTTGCCATAGGGTATGTACACTCATCAGAAACAGAGATAGATAGAAAGAGAGACAAAGTGAGAAATCACTCCCCGAGGATCGCCATGCCACAGTCCCCTCTCTCATTCTCCTCTCGGGATTTTGGGTATGCGCGCACACACAGGTATTCAGTGTGAGTCTCAAGCTGCTGGGTCCAGAACTCAAACACAGCCATGTAGGATCTAGCACCTTAACCACCACACCACCTGCTGGCCCACTAACTATTTTTAAGTGTACAGTTCTATGGCATCAAATACATTCACACTGGTATGCAACCATCACCATCATTCATCCCCAGAACTTTTTCATCTTCCCCAAACTGAAACTGCATCATTAAACAAGATTCCCATCTTCTTCTCTCCCCTAACAACCACCATGCTATTTTGTCTCTATAAATGCACAGGAACCTAATATAAAAAGAATCACAATGTATTCTTCCTTCAGTGACTGACTTATTTAACTTAACATAACACTCAAGGTTCATCCATGCTGTAGCATGTGTCAAGATTTCACTCCATTGAAGGCTGAAATTATTCCATTTTCTATGCATGTATGTATCTCCCACATTTTGCTATCCATTCATATTTGATGGACACTTGGATCTCTTTCACCTTTGGGCTGGTGTAAAGAATGTTGCCATAAATACCTACTCAAGTCTTTGCTTCTACTTCTGTTGGATATAAACCCAGCAGAACTCTTCGATCATATGTTAATTATTTTAATTTTTTGAGAAATCACCATATCATTTTCACTTTCACTGTACTATTTTACATTCTCCCGTAGCATTACACAAAGGTTCTAATTTCTCTACATTTCTGCCAAGACATGTTATTATCACTATTTTTTGAGAGTACCTATCTCAATTTTTCCAACCCATCTGGGCTTTAGGCATGCACGCACACGCATGCCTGGCATGTTTTTCAAGACACTGAGGTCAGGATTTGGGATCCAGCTCCCTTAACCACTGTGCCACGGGGCTGGCCCCTTGCTCATCCTATGTCAGGTATCCTTCCAATTTTTGGTCTTTTCATATTTTGCGCAGAACAGTCCTCCTTTAAACCACCTTATAACTTGTTCCTTGGCCTCCATCAGATCTTTCTTTCACTATCACATCCACACTGACATGTCCCGAATCACTCAGTTCAAACTGTGTCCTTTCCCCCTCTCCCATTCCGATCCTCCTCTCTGTTTTAGTTTTCTCTGTAGCACTTAGTGCCATCAGTATACTATTTCTTGTACCTGGTTAGTGGGCGTCTCCCATCATCACATTTCAAGCATCAGAAAAAAGTTTTGTCTATTTTATTCACTGCTGTATCGTCTGAACGGTACCCAGTATAGAATAAGTACTCAATTAGTACTCACTGTTGATGCTGAATTTTTCAGTCAAAATATCCCATCCACAAAAGCCTGGAGTTTCCAGAACAGAGAAAGATGCTGCCTCTTCTGACAGAAGTATCGCGTGAAGCACACGAACATTCTGTCTCTGTGAGATGTACTTACCCTGATTCCTGTGCCATTGTCTTGGATCTGAATCAATTTCAAGCCTCCCTCTTTAACAACCACTTGGATACTTGTGGATTTTGCATCTAAACTGGCAAACAGAGAAAATGCCTTTATTAGTCTGCAGCTACTCTAATGCACATATTTGAACACGAGTCATGCAATAACAAACTCCAATATAAAAATGCCAGATGACCTGTTTACAGACACACTGACTATAATGTATGGGTTTATAATATTGTGTGTGAGAGAGAAGCGAGGCTGCAAAGCACCTATCATTTTCAATAGGAAATTTGCATTTCTTCTCTATATCAGCAGTATTTGTATTTCTCTAGGGAAGAAAGAGAGTGAAGTTAGACATAGGGTCCTTTTGAGACATGCCTCTTTCTTATCCTCTACTCAACTGATTTTACCATCTGTTACTTCAACTTCATTCAGGCTCCTGAGTGAGTCTAACAGAATGTCATTACTGGACTTATTCTCTATTTTTTTTTAAAGACTTATTTAAGTTACTATTATTATCTGTGTAAATTTGCTGTAAGGCACATGGGCTCACCAGAGACAGACACAGAGAGAGAAAGTGAGAAAGTAAGCTATCAGGTCCCGGACTCGAATTGCAGTCGTCCACGTGGGAGTGCAGCGCCTTAAACATGTCACCTGCTCATGTGCCCCTTCTATTTATACACTTTTGATGATCTCATTCCATCTCACGGCTTTTTCTTTTTTTATTAGAAAACTTCTTTATTAAAAATTTACAGATAATTTTTTTAGAATTATTTATTTATTTTAAAGTTTGCCATAGGGTACAAATGCTCACCAGGAAGCAACAGAGAGAGTGAGAAAGAGAGAGGAAGGGAGGGAAAGTAAGAAGGCAAGCCACCAGGTCCAAGATTCGAACCATGGTCTGCCATGTTAGAGTCCAATGCCTTAGCTACCACATCTCCTGCTGGCCCCTAAACTACAGATGATTTTTAAATTAACATATACACAACATAAAATTTTCCAGCTTAGCTTTTTTTCCCCCCTAAAGAGTTTTGCCATAGGGTATGTACACTCATCAGAAACAGAGATAGATAGAAAGAGAGACAAAGTGAGAAATCACTCCCCGAGGATCGCCATGCCACAGTCCCCTCTCTCATTCTCCTCTCGGGATTTTGGGTATGCGCGCACACACAGGTATTCAGTGTGAGTCTCAAGCTGCTGGGTCCAGAACTCAAACACAGCCATGTAGGATCTAGCACCTTAACCACCACACCACCTGCTGGCCCACTAACTATTTTTAAGTGTACAGTTCTATGGCATCAAATACATTCACACTGGTATGCAACCATCACCATCATTCATCCCCAGAACTTTTTCATCTTCCCCAAACTGAAACTGCATCATTAAACAAGATTCCCATCTTCTTCTCTCCCCTAACAACCACCATGCTATTTTGTCTCTATAAATGCACAGGAACCTAATATAAAAAGAATCACAATGTATTCTTCCTTCAGTGACTGACTTATTTAACTTAACATAACACTCAAGGTTCATCCATGCTGTAGCATGTGTCAAGATTTCACTCCATTGAAGGCTGAAATTATTCCATTTTCTATGCATGTATGTATCTCCCACATTTTGCTATCCATTCATATTTGATGGACACTTGGATCTCTTTCACCTTTGGGCTGGTGTAAAGAATGTTGCCATAAATACCTACTCAAGTCTTTGCTTCTACTTCTGTTGGATATAAACCCAGCAGAACTCTTCGATCATATGTTAATTATTTTAATTTTTTGAGAAATCACCATATCATTTTCACTTTCACTGTACTATTTTACATTCTCCCGTAGCATTACACAAAGGTTCTAATTTCTCTACATTTCTGCCAAGACATGTTATTATCACTATTTTTTGAGAGTACCTATCTCAATTTTTCCAACCCATCTGGGCTTTAGGCATGCACGCACACGCATGCCTGGCATGTTTTTCAAGACACTGAGGTCAGGATTTGGGATCCAGCTCCCTTAACCACTGTGCCACGGGGCTGGCCCCTTGCTCATCCTATGTCAGGTATCCTTCCAATTTTTGGTCTTTTCATATTTTGCGCAGAACAGTCCTCCTTTAAACCACCTTATAACTTGTTCCTTGGCCTCCATCAGATCTTTCTTTCACTATCACATCCACACTGACATGTCCCGAATCACTCAGTTCAAACTGTGTCCTTTCCCCCTCTCCCATTCCGATCCTCCTCTCTGTTTTAGTTTTCTCTGTAGCACTTAGTGCCATCAGTATACTATTTCTTGTACCTGGTTAGTGGGCGTCTCCCATCATCACATTTCAAGCATCAGAAAAAAGTTTTGTCTATTTTATTCACTGCTGTATCGTCTGAACGGTACCCAGTATAGAATAAGTACTCAATTAGTACTCACTGTTGATGCTGAATTTTTCAGTCAAAATATCCCATCCACAAAAGCCTGGAGTTTCCAGAACAGAGAAAGATGCTGCCTCTTCTGACAGAAGTATCGCGTGAAGCACACGAACATTCTGTCTCTGTGAGATGTACTTACCCTGATTCCTGTGCCATTGTCTTGGATCTGAATCAATTTCAAGCCTCCCTCTTTAACAACCACTTGGATACTTGTGGATTTTGCATCTAAACTGGCAAACAGAGAAAATGCCTTTATTAGTCTGCAGCTACTCTAATGCACATATTTGAACACGAGTCATGCAATAACAAACTCCAATATAAAAATGCCAGATGACCTGTTTACAGACACACTGACTATAATGTATGGGTTTATAATATTGTGTGTGAGAGAGAAGCGAGGCTGCAAAGCACCTATCATTTTCAATAGGAAATTTGCATTTCTTCTCTATATCAGCAGTATTTGTATTTCTCTAGGGAAGAAAGAGAGTGAAGTTAGACATAGGGTCCTTTTGAGACATGCCTCTTTCTTATCCTCTACTCAACTGATTTTACCATCTGTTACTTCAACTTCATTCAGGCTCCTGAGTGAGTCTAACAGAATGTCATTAAAAAAACACAAAAACTCTAATTCCTTCTCTTTCCTATCACCTTTTCTTTAAAAAATTATTTATGGGGGCCGACAGGTGGCGTGGTGGTTAAGGGTGCTGGACTCCCACATGGCTAACCGTGGTTCAAGTCCCAGACCTGGCAGCTTGCTTTCTCACTTTCTCTCTCTCTCTCTTTCTTTCACTCTGTCTCTCTCTAGTCAAATTAAAATGAAGATAAAATAATTCTTTTTTTAAAAAGTATTTATGATAGAGGAAAGAAAAGAAGACAATACTATTTTTTGGGGGAGAGATTTTTGCTATAGGGTACATGCACTTGTTGGAGAGACAGACAGACAGAAAGTGAGAAATCATTCCTCCAGGGGAGGATGGCCACACTGCAATCCCTTCTCATTCATTCTGCTCTTGGGATTTTGGGCATGCATGCACACATGCAGGGTGTGAAACTAAAGCTGCTGGGTCTGGGACTCAAACCGTGGTTTGCCATGTGGGAGCCCAGTGACATAAATATCATGCCATCTGCTGGTCCCAAGAAGTTAATAAATCTTTTGGGTTTTCAAAGAGGAGTCTACGAGCATAAAGTACCTGCTAGTAAAAACAAATTCAGCCAAGGCCTACATAAGGAAGAGAAGTCATCTGCTTCCTACACAGAAAATTCTTTACTCAGAAGTAATACAATAAGTTGCTCAAATAATAAAGACTTTTCTCTGGAGCCCTGTATCAAAATTGCATTAGGCACCTCAACTTACATACTTAAAAAGAGCATAACTGGATTCCACACAAAGTCTCTGCTTATAGAATTTCTCATAAACCACTGAGCGGGTATGTTTAGTTCTACTGTATAGTATTCTGGTACAGGACAATAAAAGGCCCAAGTTGTTCTGTCAGTTCCAACAATATAGAAATAAAACCGACTCCTGCTATAAGTCCAAGGAGAAAAGGTCCCCAGACTCCCTGCTCCTTCTTTTGTCTACCTTCTAATTAATTCACTTTCTCTTCCTTTTCCTCAGTGGCCCTTTCTGACCTATTATTCCAGACCTACTGTCCTGTATGGTTTGTTTTCACAATAAATCTCTCTATGTATTTCTCATTCTTAGATAAAGCAATTTTTTCCATTAATGTATGGATTTCATTTATGATAACTGAGTTTAACACACAGGATCTAACATAACATTCTGATACACCATGGGCATCTTTTTTGAGGTTCACCTTCCACACCCGTCTGTCTTTCCACATGTTTAACCTCTGGCCTTCACATTATACTTTGGGGCCAGCAGGTGGTGTGGGGAAGGTGCTGGGCTCCCACATGGCCAACCACGGTTTAAGTCCCAGCCCAGAGGCTTGAAAATCATACCACGAGCCTGTGGGTATGTGCCCAAAATTCCAGAAGGGGAATGGAGCAAAAGGGACTGCAGTGTGCCTTTCTCTTTGGAGGGTGATTTCTCACTTTCCTTCTCACTGTCTCTCTCCAGTGAGCACACATGCCCTATGGAAAAAAAAAAAAACTTGAAAAAATCAAGTATCTTTAAAGAGCTGGCAGAAAACGGGCAGGAAAACACTAAGTGGGATCACTAATTTGGCAACAGACAAATCAAAATCCTTAGGACATCTGCCTGTCCTAATACTTTGATGACTTAATGCTGAATAAAACTCCAAATGAAACGGTACTATCCACGTGTGTGATCTGAGATAAGTGATAAGAAACTGGTAATACGGTATTCTGAAGAAGGTGAAAAAATTCCCTCCAACATAACTTTCACACATCTTTAATTCTACCTAATGCATAAACTAAAAATGAAGTGGCTTCCATAATTAATGGTAAACCATCAAAGCAATGCTAACGGGGTAATACTCGCATCCCAAACCACCCTACGAAGATCTCGCGAGAGCGCTCAAAAACACGCGGTACCCAAGCAGGGTAGGCAGCTGGTCCAGCTCAGCGACCCCCGCAGCCTCATCCGCTGTGGGCATGCGCGGTACGCGCCTCCGCTCAGGGCAGGGAGGCGTGTCGCACCATTCGAAGGAGCGGACCGTTAAATCGTAGCCTTTACGGGAGCCCGCCTCCGTACCAGTTCTCAATCATCTCTTTGATAGCATTAGCAGGCCGCTGGATTACTTCCCCCGCCGCGATGCGGTTCACCACTGTCTCGTCCAGCCGCCGTATGACCCCTGCCACGAGCGACATTTTGGCGCCAGAGAACGGATCACGTCCGAGATGCTCACCGAAAGCGCTTTCAGCCAATCGCTTCAGCGCCTCGTGCTTACGTATTTCCTTCAACTCGGCTTTATGTTGTCCCGCCCTGCCCTCCAGTGGCAGCTATTGATTGGGCATCTTGAATGCCAGTCAAGTGTCTTAATTCCGTAAGTTCCTGGTTCTCTTTGTCCCACCCTCAAAAGGCTGGGGAGCCCACCAGCTGGGAGGATATGCACTTGCGCAGTAGACATCCCTGTCTGCTCTTCCTATTGGTTCGTTCCTTGGAGCTACGGGGAATACGAAATCTCCAGCCAATAGGGACGAAGGTGTTGTAACCCGAGGCTGGTGTCCTGCGCCTGCTGAGGTGATCTGGCGCAGAGCGGAGGAGGTGCTCGGCGCTGCTGCGGCTCCTCCCCTTGCGGCCTCTCTGAGGTTGGCCCTTCTCCTGTGGCCTCCCGGAGAATGTGGATGACGCCCAAGAGGAGCAAGATGGAAGTGGACGAGTCTCCAGTTTTCCGGCCCGAGTGGACCCAGCGTTACTTGGTGGTGGAACCTCCTGAGGGCGACGGAGCCCTGTGCCTGGTCTGTCGTCGCCTCGTCGCAGCTACACGCGAACGCGACGTTAGGCGACACTACGAGGCCGAGCACGAATACTACGAACGGTATGAGGAGGAGGCCGAGCGCGCAGCTCTGGTGGAGCGTCTGCGTCAGGGCGACCTGCCGGTGCCTGCCCCGCTCTCTCCTGAGCAGAGAACTGCTCGGGCAGGCCTCGCGCTCTGCCGCCTCTTGGCTTTGAAGGGCCGCAGCTGGGGTGAGGGGGACTTTATATACCAGTGCATGGAGTTGTTGCTTAGGGAAGTACTGCCCGAGCACGTCAGCGCCTTGCAAGGCATTGAATTATCTCCAGCAGCCACAAGGCAGCGGATCCTGAGCATTGATGGGAATCTACGCAGTCAGCTTTATAATCGCGCCAGAGACTTTAAAGCTTATTCCCTTGCTTTGGACGACCAGGCTTTTGTGGCCTACGAGAACTACCTTCTGGTCTTCATCCGTGGCGTGGGTCCTGATTTGGAGATACAAGAAGACCTTCTGACCATAATCAACCTGACTCATCACTTCAGTGTTGGTGCGCTGATGTCGGCAATCTTGGAGGCCTTGCAGACAGCAGGGCTTAGCTTGCAGCGAATGGTTGGACTAACCACAACTCACACTTTGAGGATGATTGGCGAGAACTCTGGATTGGTCTCATATATGAGAGAAAAGGCCGTAAGCCCCAACTCTTGGAACGTTATCCATTACTCAGGATTTCTTCACTTGGAACTGTTGAGCTCCTATGATGTAGATGTGAATCAGATCATAAATACCATATCTGAATGGATAGTTTTGATTAAGACCAGAGGCGTCAGGCGACCAGAATTTCAGACTTTACTAACTGAATCGGAATCAGAGCATGGCGAAAGGGTTAATGGACGATGTCTAAATAATTGGCTGAGAAGAGGGAAAACTTTAAAATTAATATTTTTGCTAAGAAAAGAAATAGAAACATTCTTGGTTTCAGTAGGGGCCACAACAGTCCATTTCACAGACAAGCAATGGCTTTGTGACTTTGGCTTCTTGGTGGATATTATGGACCATCTTCGAGAACTCAGTGAAGAATTGCAAGTTACTAAGGTCTTCGCTGCTGCTGCCTTTGACCATATTTGTACTTTTGAAGTTAAGCTGAATTTATTTCAAAGACATATTGAGGAAAAAAACCTAACACACTTTCCTGCCTTCAGAGAGGTTGTTGATGAGCTTAAACAGCAATTTAAGGAAGATGAAAAAATATTTGATCCTGACAGGTACCAAATGGTGATCTGTCGGCTACAAAAAGAATTTGAAAGACATTTTAAGGACCTCAGATTCATTAAAAAGGACTTAGAACTTTTTTCAAATCCATTTAACTTTAAACCTGAATATGCACCCATCTCAGTAAGGGTGGAACTAACAAAACTTCAAGCCAACACTAACCTCTGGAATGAATACAGAATCAAAGATTTAGGGCAATTCTATGCTGGATTGTCTGCTGAATCTTACCCAATTATCAAAGGGGTTGCTTGTAAGGTGGCATCCTTGTTTGATAGTAACAACATATGTGAGAAGGCGTTTTCATATTTGACTCGGAATCAACACACTTTGAGCCAGCCACTGACAGATGAGCATCTCCAAGCCCTTTTTCGGATTGCTACAACTGATATGGAGCCCTGTTGGGAAGATCTTGTGAGAGGAAGAAATGAATCTAATCCATAAGCCTTGGTAGTACAATATTGAATTCAGTTCTAAAGCAAACAGTTTTCAGGTTTACTGATTTGGATTGTGGGAATGAACTGTTTGTTAAAAGCCTTCAGATTGATCACAATTCAAATCCTGATAGTTGCCTTCTTTTCATCTTATGTGGCAACATGCGACTGATACATGAGAATACCACCTTTTTCAAAACTTAGCTTAATGACAGTCATTGACTTTTAGAATATAATCGATTTAAAGAAGTTTAGTATTGATAATGTGAGTTGAGTTAGAAATTTGTTTTTAAGGTGTGCTGAAGATATATGGCAAAAATCTTAGCCCCTATTTTAACGAAGAATTGAAATTCTGATATAGTCTGAAATTATCAACTCTTTAAATGAGTGTTTGAACCAATTTGCAGAAACATAGCAAGTTTGATAAGAAAGAACAGACGTGAAGGTATTTTGTCTATCAAAAGTTTGAGACAATATTTTTTAAACATGTTTCTGAGTCTGAAGTAAATATTGACAGATTTTTCCCTTTCACCTCCCCTCCACCACCCCAGGGATAATAATATTAATAGAGGAAGTATTCAATTAAAATTTTAGTCAGAGGAGCAAGAATGATTTTTAGGTTGCTGATTTAGAAGGCTTGCGGTTTGGACATGTGACTAATTATTAGGAGTATCCCCTGAATTTTTTCACAACCGAGGGCTGTTTTATCAGCTTGCCTATTAAAGGACGATGGTAAGTATAGGATCTTAATGGTTTCCAGTTAGTACTTCTTTTTTCTACTCTAGAAAGAAGTTTGTCCTTGTCAAAAAAGAGTGAGGAAAAAGGTTTTTTATACTCTAGGATGAGGAAGTGTGAGATATTTTAGCTTATTTGTCCTATTTGCGTGGGTGTTAGTGCTTTATAAATAATCCTTACAGGAAACATTATTTTAAAAATGATATAGTATCAGGTTTTATTAGCTGCTGGAAGTGGATTTATTCTAGTATTTGAAGCTGTCTCACACATTCTTGTATTTAAGACAGTACACAAAGTTGAAATATTGTCAAAAAGCAGCCTTATTCACAGATTGTAGTAATATCATATTTCTGATAAGACATCTACTTTGTGCTAAAACTAATTTTAAAATTTATGTTAATTGTGAAAATGTGATCTTACAGTAAAGTCCAATATATGTAAAACTGACTTAAATAGAGGACCCAGCTTGTGCATATAGATCCTCTTAAGTACAGTTTGAAGACTGTTGTGCTCAAGTCATGTCTTAACTATTGCAACACGTTATTCTATGGTCACTAATCCAGCAGGTTCAAGGACGCAGGATACAACCAATAATTTAGAAGGAACTGGTGCCTGAGCAATCAAAATAGATGCCATAAGAGCTTAAAAACCAAAGTTTTGTCAGTGGTTGTCCACCAGAAGCAGTAACCTTTCCTCTCAGCGGATGCTGGGAAATGTGAAAAGGTACCTTTTTGGTTGACATATTTACTGGGGACCGTTTGCCTGAAGACCGTTTGCCCCCAGTTCCCTGCAGCACAGAGGACAGCCTGGCACGCTGAAGAATTATCTTTCCCAAGTGCCAATAGACCCCCAGTGTAGATTATCTTATTTTGAGGGACAGGGCAGATTACCAATAGAGACAAATTTAGAAGGGCAAGTTGGGGAAACTGAAAGAATGCTTGATAGGGAACAGTAATTCCAGCTTGTCAGGTTTGTTTGGTAAAGTACAATAAAGGCATTGATAGGGTCCAGTATCTCACAGTATAAATCACTAATTAACATTGAAGCAGATTAAAGGGCTCTAGCTTGCTAAACATAGTTGAGGGCAGAACAAGTGTTACATATTGATATGGATGAGTTGAGATTTTGGTTAACAGTAAGCTTAACTATCTGGAAAAGCAATAGAGGAAAATGGAAAAAAAAAAAAAAGAATCTAGTGGTAATTTCCTAGTAACTAAGTATTCCTTTTCACAGCAAGTGCTTTTTTACTTAAGAGAAAATAGGAATATCTGAAAGCTGTTTTAGCTGTCTAACCCTAGTTCCTCAAATATTGAAATTTTGTACATTTTGTGAAACTCTAGTATGTTTTGCTTAAGGTGATAATAAAAATTAGTTTGCATCATTTAGTCACTGAATGGGGGGAAGGGGATATAAGCCAAACATTTTAAATTGACCCTCAGCATTAGGGAAATTGCTATAAACTAGTCTTGTTTGTTAAAAAGAAAAAACAGTGTAAAATGTGTTTTATTGTTTTCTGTATTCTATAACTGCATGGCAGTCTTTTTTTTTTTTTTAATATAGTTGTTACTGGTCCTATTGTATCAGTGAATATAGTTAAAATAAGTACCATTTTAAAACATTCAATGTCCTTATCAGTTATTACTTTATATCTACCATTCTTACAAACTTGAAAGATTTGTGTTCTCAGTCATGCATATTGCCACTCTTAATAGCTCTATCAAGCTCTCTTAAATTCTTGTGAATATGCTTACCCTCCTTGAAATACTTGATTGCTTTAGCTTTGAAGTGATACCATCTCCAGGTAAGCTTTCTCAGTCTTATTTGCAGGTACCTTTTCCCTTAAATATTTGTTAAGATTTTTAAAAAAAATTTTTAGGCTGCCTTATTCAGTATCGTCTCCCTAGCCAGTTTCCTTCCATCGCTTTAGTTCTCTATGCAAACGGCTCCTAAATTTATATCTCCTTTCTAGGCCTTTTTAAATTGATATATCTAATTGCTAACATAAATCCACTTTGCTGTTTCACAGACACATCAGTCTTATCCCCTAAAACTCATCCTCTCATGTTCCCTGGTTCAGCAAATTGCACTACTATACCAGCCATTCAGTTGCTCTTGCCTAAACCAAAAACTGAATCATCCATGACCTTTCCTGACTCTCCATTGTTCCTACTCTCATTGAGGCCACTAGCCTATCTAAATTATAGCCAACAGCCTCCTTTTTAGTCTCTCTTACTCTGGTTTTTGTTCCTTGCCACACGGCAGCCAGATTATTCCAAAAGACTTATGTGGTCGTATTACTCTACTGCTTTCACCATTGCTCATTGGAAAACAGAAATTTCTGTTTATCTTTCAGGTCTCAGTTTATATGCTGCTTCATCTAGGAAACTGTCTAGATTAGTTGCTTTTGCTGTGTACTCACTAAACACCCTGTTCTTCTCCAACCTCACACTTAGCAAATTTTATTGTTACTGCTTATGATCACTGCTAGATGTAAGCTTTACAAGGTCAGGGACTGTAAGCCTTGTTCACGGTTATCTCTAGTGCTTAACACAATGCCTGGCATTTCAGTAAACATTTGAATAAATATTTGTGCAGTGTTTTATGATCTTTGAAACTCTTTCATAGCTGTCCTGTGTTAGACTGTACACTGAGAATTGTTAACATATTACAAATGAAGGAACAAAGCTGTTTGTGATTAGGGATTTCATTGTTATAGTCCCAAAATTTAGTGCAGTGTCTAACCTGTGATTCAGGTAATCATTACATGAATGTTGTTAGGAAACAAATGAAATTGTAATTTTTCTTAGTAAACATGATCAGGTTTACTAAGGAAAATTAGTAAACATGGTAAAGTCAGGATTCATACCCAGGTATACTCCCCTAAATCCACTGTGTAATATGAAGTCTATATATTCACAATATAGACTCCTACTTTTTTTTTGTTTTGTTTTGTTTTGTTTTGTTTTCATTTCCAAAGGCACATTTGCAAATGAACCTACTTGTAGAGGAAAAAAGATAACTATTTTGTGAACCAAGACTAATTTAAAAGTTTCATTCAGTATTGGAGAAAGATAATGCTACTTAAAAGTTAATATCCATGTTTCCTTTTGTAGGCATCAACCCTAGGAGAAAATGGCATGCTATTTATTTGCTACTTTCCTTTACAGATGATTTTTGGCTCTTCTGGGATTTTAAAAGTAAGTAAATTTAACAAAATATTAGAATGGCTCAGCCCTTTTGGTCACTAAATACTCAGTTCTCTTGCTTTCTTACTGCAGTATCCTCATCTCCACAAGGGAGATAACTCAAAAGTGACATCTAGTTAATGTGTACTTTTAGATTTACTACTTTGCTTTCTTGTTCCCATGCCTCTCTGAACTTATTATCTGTGTAACTGGGGCTTTTTAGGTTTAGGTGGGAGAGTCTCTGTTTCCTTAAGCCATTTTGTTCAGTTTAAGAGATTAGCAAGTGTTGTACTCTCAGTTGGATATTTAATCTGAGGCACATGAACTTATTCAGAGATCGTAACGCTAGGTGTAATAATCATCCAGTGAATAGATCATTGCTGCAAAACTAGCATTTAATCAACCTTTGGGTTAAGGGATTTCTCATTTTTATCTTATTTTTAATAACTGAAAAATTGCCTCATCCTACCCAATAGGTATTGGTATTGTAACTTTCCTATTCTCTTTCATTTCTGCCTGCAAACTGATTCTTTTCTGAGTTCATCTCTTTTCTTTACATTTTGTTAAATGCAGTCCAACCACAAAATATTTTATTTTCCTACCTTTTTCATTAGTAAAGAGTAGATTATCTGCCTTCCAGGTTGTCTCAAGGGACAATTTCACTTTCCCATAATAGGAATCACTCCTATGTAAATTATCTCTTCATTCCTCCAGTAGCAGTTTCCAGAATACCTAACCAGTAAAACAGTGTTCACTATTTTAGTGTGTGTTTTTGTTTTGTTTTGTTTTATTTTTAAATAGGAACCCATTTCTCTGTCAGCATAGACTAGGTTGCAATGGAGTAACAATTATAAAATCTCATTGTCTCGCACAACTTTCTATTGCAACTTGGCTAGGGACTTTGCTCTTGGTCAGAGATTGGTCAATTACAGCTTACAGGCAAAAATCTGTCCTACCACCTGTTTCTCTAAAAAAAAGTTTTACTGGAGCCTGGTCTACTTACTTACTGGCTGTGGCTGCTTTTGCTCTGTGATGGCAGAGTTGAGTAGTTGCAACAAATAGTATGTACCCCACAAAGTATAAAATATTTACTCTGTGGCCCTTTACAGAAGAAGATCATTAATCCCTGTTTTAAATTATCCTTGTTCTGGGATTCAGGCTGACCAAGCAGATACCAAGTGTGGCTGTTCACTTTGGGAAATGGAAAAAGAAAGTGACAAATCACTTATAGACCCTAAAAGCACTTTATTGGTCAAAGGAAATCACATAACCACACCAAAGTTCAAGGAGGAGTATAATCCTTCCACATAACTGGGAAGAAAATCAATAGTATTTGGAAGAACACTACTGATTAACATATGGTTACATCTCCATTTATATCATTTGTTTCAATATATAAAAATACCAAGTGTGCACTTCAGTGGGTTTTTATATACATCTTAGAATACCACCTGGACCTAGATAAAATATTTCTAGTACCTCAAGAGGTATCCTTTTTCCCCTCCTATGCACAGAGAACCACTATGCTGACCTTTTTCACCACAGATTAGTTTTGCCTATTTTAAAACTTTATGTAAATGCAATGAGTATATGCACTTTGATGTCTTTTGTTCAACATTATGTCTGTGAGACTAATTCATGTTGTATGTAGCAGCAGTTCATTTTTTACTTCTGTGTAGTATTTCATTGTATGACTATGCCACAGTTTATCCATTCTACTGTTGATGGAAATTTGGATTATTTTCATTTGTGGTCATTATGAATAAAGTTGCTATGAAAATATTTTGACTCTTTCAATGGACATGTGCATCCATTCCTCTTGGTATACATATACTCTGGTATTTACTCTGTTCTCATATTTTCCCAATACAGTTTATTCTTACTACAGCCCAGAATAGTCCTTATTTTAAAATATAAGTCAGGAGACCAGTAGGTGGCATGTAGGTTAAGGTGCTGGATTCCCACATGGCTGACTGCAGTTTGAATCCCAGATCTGGTGGCTTGAAAATCATGCTGGGTGCATGTGTGTGTGCGTGCACAAAATCCTGAGAGGAGAATAGAAAAAAAGGGATTGTGACATGGTCATCCCCCCTGGGGAATAATTTCTCACTTTCCCCCCCTCTAGCAAGCGCATGCACCCTCTGGCCAAAAACAAAAAAAAAATGCTAAATTTTGGTAAATTCAAGAAATGTAAGGTTTTGCATTTTGGTTCTACTGATTATGAATTCAGCAACTTGCTTATGACACTTAAAATTGTTCACTTCCAGGAGTGTTAGTGGGGAATGGGAGCTGGAAGTGAGAGAAGTTGGAAAGTCGGTGAGATAAATAAAGTACTGATACTAAGTTAAAGCAGCACAGTATTGAGAAGGGACCTCCTTCGGTATTGGCATTGTACAGTATAAGTTATGAAGCTTTTTATAAATTTTTTTCACGCCTTTATTCATGTACAGGTGAAGTACAGGAAACCACATATTTAAAGAATTAAGTTTGATTGATTTTGACATATAAATGGATGAAACCATTTATGTGTCTATTTTGGCTAATAGGAAGAGAAATTTGCTAGAACTTGAGGAAAATGGACTTTATTGAAAAAGATGTCTTAATTTAGACTGCTGTACCAAATGACCATATACTAGGCAGTTTGAACAGCGAACATTTTTGGTGTAGGCTGGGAAGTTGAAGATCAAAGTGCCTTCAGATCCCATGTTAGTGAGGGACCACTTTGGCTCATTTTCATGTGAGCAGCATCTTTTTATATCCTCATAAGGCAAAGAATAGAGAGCAAAAACAAGCTCTCTTCTTTTTATAAAAGCACCAATCTCATCAAAAGGGATTGGAGGTTAGAAGTTCAACATGCAAATTTGGGAAGGTGAGCATAGACACTTAGTCCATAGGAAAATATGGGGATATCTCTCAGAACCATCACCCCATTGTCTGTTACCTTCTCTGCATCTAATTTCTTCTTAGCCCTTTGCTCACCAATATTTGTACACCTTCCTTACCCCAGTTCAGTGCCTCTTACTGACCCAGTTGTCATGTGCAAATATATTACTGGGCTGGAGTTTGTGGTAGTCCAGTCTTTGATGTGTTCCCTGAGACCAGGCATACACTGGTACTTCAGAAGGTTTGTGACAAAATAAAATTGAAGTACACATCTGTTTGGTACAAAAACATTTTAAGTCCATGCATAATTTTTTGTTCTGTTTTTTAGTTTGCAATAGAGCATGCTTACTTGCCGGAGAGAGACAGGGAGACAGAGGGAAAGTAAGAAATCACCTCCTGGGGACCAGCAGGTGATGTGGTGATTAAGGGACACCACACTCCCACATGGCTGACCATGGTTCAAGTCCTGGTCATGGTGGCTTGCTTTCTCACTTTCCTTCTCTCTCTCTCTTTGTGTCTCTCTGGTCAAATTAAATGAATGAATAAATAAAAATTTAAAAAATAATAATAAAAGAAATCACCTCCTATAGGGGAATGGCCATGCTGCAATCCCTTCTCTGTTCTCCTAGGATTTGCAGCACAGTCACAGGGGTAATTTCGTTTTCCCTCTCTGTCTTTCTCTAGTGAGTGTATGTGCCCTATAGCAAAACAAAACAAAACAACAACAAAAACCTTAACAAAAAAAGTAGGAATAGCTTGTGGAAATTAAATTTGTTGGTCATCCAATGATTATTTAAAGAAGGCCCTGAGACTAAGCACTGGGACCTGGAGATTCAGCAGTAAAGCAATATAAATTTCCTACCCTCATGAACTTTGTCTTCACACATCTGCTTCATTCTCCAAACACTATCTTCCACTGCTCACTTCTCTTCATGGGAGAACATAGTTGTGACTGAAAAGATACCTCCTTCAGCATTACAGGTGTTAAGGAATCTAAAAAATAACATTTTCTTAAATAACTACAATTCCATGGGAACAGCTAACTTTTTTTTTTTTTTTGGCAAAAATGAATGTCTAGCCTATATTCAGATTTCCTTGACTGTTCTCAAAAGTTACTTTTTTTTTTTTTTTTTTTTTGAGACGTTTTTGCTATAGGGCACGTGCGCTCGCCAGAAAGACAGAGAGTGAGAAATCACTCCCCGGGGGGATGGCCATGCTGCAGTCCCTTCCTCCACTCCCCTTTCAGGATCTTGGGCATGCACATACACACGCCCAGCGTGAGTTTAAACCACTTGGTCCGGAACTTGAGCTGCGGTCAACTACATGGGAGTCCAGTGATACATACACACGCCCAGCATGAGTTTAAACCACTTGGTCCAGAACTTGAGCTGCGGTCGACTACATGGGAGTCCAGTGATATAGCCATTATGCTAACTGCTGGTCCTAAAATGTAGATTTTAAAACTGTATTGTCTATATTCATTTCTAGAAAAAGTTACTTGAAGATTTACCCCAACTGAGAGAATAAACCAAGTTAAGTGATGTTATGACTTTCTGTTTATTTAGTTCTTAAGTTTTTTTCTTTATTCATGATAGAGTACACGCACACACATAGACACACACACAGAGAAAGAGACAAGAGAAGCACCCTCCCAGAGTCTGTTCACACAGTGATACCCTCCCTCTAGTCTTCCAACTCATTAGATCTTGGGTACTTGGACACGTGCCCAGCAGTTCATACTGACCAGGAGGGTATTCAAACTACATTCGCCATGTGGAATCTGGCTTCTCTTCAGCAGTACACTACTACTGTGCCACAGTCAGCCCTATTTAGTTTTTTAATTTCATTCAACAATGCAATTGAAAATCGTATTTTTTTCTTTTTCATTTTTTTTCTTTCTTTTTCTTTTTTTTGGAGAGACTTTTGTTATAGGGCACATGGTGCTCGCCAGAAAGAGAGAGAGAGAAAACAAAAATCACCCCCCCCCCCAGGGGGATGGCCATGCTGCAATCGCTTCTCCTCCATTCTCCTCTCGGGATCTTGGGCACACACACACACGTGCCCGGCGTGAATTTAAACCACTGGATCCGGGACTCGAACTGCAATCAACTACATGAGAGTCCAGCGACATAGCCATTACGCCAACTCCTGAAAATGGTATTTTTTTTTTTATCTCATTTTCAGTTTTCTCATTACTGTTCTAGAAATAAATATTTGTATATATTGTTCTTGTATCTTGTAACCATGCTGAACTCATTTATTGATGGTAATAACTTTTAGTGGATTTCTTAGAATTTTCTACATACAAGAGTACATAATCTTAGAATACAGCTAGTTTTACCTCTTCCTTTCCAGTCTGGTTGACTTTTATTTCTTTTTATTGCCTAGTAACCCTGGCTAGAACTTCCAGTAAAATAGAAGTGGTAAAAGTGGACATCCTTGTCCCTGATGTCACATACAATGTAAGGCATGAGGGTTTTTTTATGATACTCTGTCAGGTTGAGGAAGTTCTTTTTTATTTTCCTGTAATTTTTGCCAGAGTGTACATGCATGTGCCAGAAAGAGACAGAGACCGAGAGAGAGAGAGAGAGAGAGAGAGATGAGGAAGGGCCTGTCATAGGAAATGGTCGTGCTGTAATCCCTTCTCCTTCATCTCTCTCTTTAGGATTTTGGGCACACACAGATATGCCCTTGGTGTGTTTTTCAAACCATTGGTTCCAGGACTCCATCACGTGGTTGGCCATGTGAGTTCCAGTCACACCAACTACCATGTCACCAGCTGGCCCAAGAAAGTCCCTTGCTATTCATAGTTTGTTAACTGTTTTTATCATGAAAGGGTGTTGGATTTTGTCTAATGCTTTTGACAATGCTATATCATGACGTTTTTTGTTTTGTTTTATTTTTGGGAACACATGCTTGCTGGAGACACACAGAGAGAAAGAGAGAGAGAGAGAGAGAGAGTGAAAAATCAAAGGGGATGGCCATACCACTCTATTCTCCTCTCAGGATTTTGGGCACACATGCACACATGTCCACCATGGGTTTCAAGTTGATTTTCAGATGAGAAACCAATCTTGCATTCCTGGGAAAGATCCCACTTGATAATATTGCATAATTCTTTTTATATGATGCTAAGTTTCATTTGATAGTAGTTAATTGGGGATTTTTGTAGCTATAGTTCTTGTGATACCTCTATCTGGTATTGGTATAAGGGTAATATTGACCTCATAAAATTAGTGGAGAAGTATTGCTTCCTTTTTTTTTTTTTGTAGTTTTTGCTATAGTACACATGTGTTCACCAGAAAGAGACAGAGAAGGAAAATGAGAAAGCACCTTCTGGGGGGATGGTCATACTGCAATCTTCTCCTCCAGTCTCCTCTTGGGATATGGGGAGCACACACACACACACACACACACACACACACACACACTGTGATTTTCAAGTTGTCAGGACTGGGATCCCAACTGTGCAGTTGGCCATGTGGGATCCCAGTGCCTTAACCTCCCTACCACCTGTTGGCCCCAACCTCTATTTCTTTTTTTTTTTTTTTTAAGAAAAGTTTGTGATTAACTGACATTCCTTTTAAAATTAACTGACATTCTTTTTAAAATTATTCATAGAATTTACTAGTGCATCCATCTGGAACTCAGCTTTTCTTTGAGGGTAGTTTTTTGATTACTAAGTCAATCTCTTTGGTTGTTACACATCTATTATTAAGATTAACTACTTCGGGAACCAGCAGTTAGCGTAATGGCTATGTCGCTGGACTCCCACGTAGTCGACCGCGGTTCATGTCCCGGACCCGGTGGCTTAAAACTCACGCCGGGCGCGTGTGCGTGCGTGCCCAAGATCCCGAGAGGAGAATGGAGGAGAAGGGATTGCGGCGTGACCATCCCCC